AATGAATTTAAATTACGATCCCGCAACGTTTATGTATGATTAAGTATCTTGCTTGTGTTCGATTTGATGAGTCGTTTACTTCACTTAAATTCTCACTTCACTGAGTCGTAAAGCCGACTGCATATGAAATTACGATTCCACAACGTCTAGATGTGATTTCACTTAACATTGCACGTGACAATTATTACGAACACGACATTTAACGATCCGCTTGTCACCATTTATTTATCACCGACAGATTTGCTGATTCATTTTGTGCCTTGGGAGAATGTATAAACAAGATGGGTCAACATTGAACTTATTCCGACTTGTCTATTAATAAAGCAGACACTATGCTAATCGAGATAACAGAGCAACTGATAAAATGATATCATGAAATCATAAATTGCAAATGTGACAAGTAGCTGAATACGGCATGTATCATCTTACTTATTGTCATTATGATAGTGAGACAAGTGAGGAGCTTATTTCATTACGAAATCTGATAAGCGTTTAAGGAAAATTATAAATGAATATATATATAGTATTGCACAAAACAAGTCTGGTTAATACTTTGCTCGCGAGCTAAACGCTTCCACTCTCCGTTGTCCCATTGAGAAGAAACAAATAGAATAGACGCTAAAGCGTCTATTAACAAAACGATGGAGAGATGGAGGCTTTAAATTCGCACACAATGTGTTGAATAGGTCTGATGTAATTTATTGCGCAATATAGATTTCGCAGAAAAATGCTGCATAAAATGAATTTTATTTCAAGGATGATTTTCAAAATTAATTAATTAATTATTTTCCCTCATTAATAATATTTCAAAGCGTTATTTTATATAATAATATTATTAATATCTAAAGTATGTGCATTAAACATTTTTGACTTAACGATGTACAAATAGATACATTTTGCGAAATATATAATAAAATAGAATTGAAATAGAAAAACCGTATAAAATTAATTAACTGTGTACGTATATGGTGAACAAGAAAGCGGCCTACATCTAATATGCGCTTCTTTAGAATCGATCTCTAGAATCTTTATGTAACAAATGACATTTTGTCCTTCAACCATTTGAATGAATTGCTTCGTTGTTCATGAATTAAATATTGATTAAATAACGCAATCACATAAATTCACATAATAAACATTACAATAAACAATCGTAATACTGTGCAATCAATCATCATGCCAATGATTAGCCTCTACCTTGATTTATTAATTTTGCTGTCATAGTCGACGTGACATTGGAGTGAATCTATGAAGAAATTTCGTCATTTGACGTACTAATAAACCCAAGCAGAAATGATCGGTCTACTGACATCTGATTTGAATGGACATTTAATCGGTGTGTGTGAATTTGACATATTATTTCGTGGAAACTCATTAATATTAATAGTCCTGGGTGTATTTTTAATAATTCTATAATTTTAGTACAAATAGTTCTGGCCATTAAAGATAAAAAAACCCAAGTGCAAACTAAAACGCCA